GGTGCAACTTTAAGAAGACAGTCAGGCTCGCAATCTAAAAAAATCTGGAAAGCTCTGAGGATGGCCCCATTAAAAAAACAGGCAATACAGACTTTGCCCAACACCTCTGCAAACATTAAAAAATAAGATTATCTACAAAGATTTTTTGGTAGTACTTTTTGCATATCCCATTCATCCCCCTTTTCTGTATCAATGACAAAGAAACAACATCTCGAGCCCTTACAGAGCCATCCAGAGCAATCCTCTTATAGATCAGCTCATCCCTGGGAGAGCAGGAATGCTGAGCAGGGCACTGGAGGCTGAGCAGAGATGACAGCCATATGCCACTTGGCAGAAGTCAGGGGGTTGTTTGTTGCTTTTTCAGCCTCCCAATTCTAATGAATTATAAAACAGAGCCTAAATTAACAGTCAGGAGGACTTTGTCAGGGCCCCACACTTTGGAGATGCTCATTGGGGAGGATCTCTTTCAACTGTTTGATTTGATCAAAGGTTCTTGCTTTTCAATTGACTTCTGTGCACTCCAGAGCTCCCCTAAACAAGAGCCAGGCTCCTTCCCAGGGACAATTTGAATCCCAGTGAGGTGTCAGTCTCTTCTAAAGGACAACTGCTTGGAAAGCAGGAGTTTTTGAATATTAATACACTCGTACAATGATGAATGATGGGACTGGCAGTCTGTACTCTTCAACAACTTGGTACCGACTAAACCAATACTGAAAGGTCTTAATCTGCCACAGAATGTACACATTTGATGTTTATTGACATCAGAACAATGAGACAAGTCCATTATCTGTGCTGGGGGTAGAAGAGGTGAAATGGAGATAAAACACACTGAGCTTCTGTATTTTTGAATGAGAGCTGTACTCAAGAAGTTCAGCACTTGCTGCATGAGACACTGGATTCACCCAAAGATTGTGCTGAATTTTATTAATAAGAAATCTTCTCATTTACCTTCTTAGTCAAAATCTTCTCATTGGCAAACTGAGTCCTGCATTCCCACAAGGCTGCCTGAATAAAACTCACTGTGTGCACGCAGCTCAACCACAAAGGAGAAAAACATTGCAGGTCAGAGAGGGAACTCTCGCTTACAGTATCTCTACATAAAGCCACATTTCCCACAGCCATCTAAAAATAGGGAATAGGAACAAATCAAGGCAAAGAAACAATCCCAACTTAGAGGCCTTCTACCCCCCCCTACCTTACAAAACAGAAATTTGACATTGGGACCTTGTGGTTCAGGTTTTTCTCAAATCAAGAAATATGAATGAGGCAAGAAGAGCTTTGCAAAATTCTTGGACTGAGATCAGACCAACAGTATCACAGAATCACAGAATCATTTTGGTTGAAAAAGACCTTCAAGACTTCCAAGATTAAATCCAATCTCCACCTTGTCACCAGCCTAGAGCACTGAGTGCCACATCCAGTTTCAATGTTCCTTGGGGACTTCCAGGGATGGGGACTCCAACAGGAAGGGGACAGCCCCTTCCGAAGTTTGACAGCCCCTTCCATGAAGAAATTCCTCCTGGTGTCCAACCTTTCCTGGTGCAGCATTAAGGAACCACAAAAATACCCAGGTAAAGCAACCTGTGCAAGGCGGGGGCGTGCAATGTCTTCTGAGAACAATTCCATCTTTTCCAGGGGTAAAGTGCTGGTCTCACTTTTGGCAAATTATTATGGAAGAACCACATGGAAATTCTGTTGCTCCAAGCTTAGATGAAGGTTTGGGAGTGTTTCCACTAAGCACTGCCATGCCACACAGATGCCTGAGACAGTTGTGAAGGACTTGGGTATCTCCAGGGCTGGGTGTCACATGGAGACAGGAGCTCACTCCCAGAAGGAATTCAGCCACATTAGCACAGCCTCCTGCCTGGGCTAATTAGGTGATGCTTCCCAGCTGCCAGAAATCCAAGAGTGAATCACACATCTGCCACATGGAGCCTTCTTCTGAAAGCACAGACTGGAACGGTGCTGAACATCAGTTGTGTGAGGATATAAAGACATAATGTCATGATTTTACTTTGGTTTAGAGCCAGAAAGAATCATAAATTCAGCTGATGAGTTTATCTGACCTGTTATCACAACTGCTACACTTCATCCACATAGCAGTGTGCCCAGATAATGAACTTCAGTCATCCTAAAACCCTGAAGTCCTTCAGGCACTTCCCTGCTCTCAGTAGGCCACAGGCTGAGTCCAACCACTTCCAAAGTCAAGACAACAGACATGGCAAAAGATTGACTAGGTGGGTGTAGTCCAAATTATTTCAGCAGAAATCCATTCCTCATACCTGGAAGATGAAGAATCATAAATTCCTGACCATCAGTTTCCAGCTCTGGCAATCAGGACGAATCCAAACATGAGTAAGACACATGGACCAATTGTCCTGATGTATCAAAACAACCAGCCCAGAAGAGTCATGGAAACCCAGAATGGTTTGGGTTGGAAGGGATCTTAAAAACCATCTCACTCCACCCCCGCCATGGGCAGGGACGCCTTCCGCTATCCCAGCTTGCTCCAAGCCCTGTCCAACCTGGCCTTGGACACTTCCAGGGATCCAGGGGCAGCCACAGCTTCTCTGGACACCCTGCCAGGGCCTCACCATCCTCACAGCCAATAATTCCTTGCCAATATTTCATCTAAACCGACTCCCTTTCAGTTTGCAGCCATTCTTCTTTTCCTGTCACTCCAGGCCCTTGTAAATATTGCTCTCTATCTTTCCTGTAGGCTCCCTGTGGGTACTGGAAGGCTTCAATGATTTCGCCCTGAAGATTCTCTTCTCCAGGCTGAAAGAAAGAAGCCACCGTCTGCTGATGGCCAATTTCTGATAATCCAAAGAAAAAAAAGAGCAAGAAAATGATGTAAAACCAGAAACTGGTAGGTCAGGAAGAGCAGCTCTTTCATAAACTCTACAAGAAAGCCAGGAGGGCCCATCAGTGTGTTTTGAGGGTGGAGATTGTCTTAGAACCACACAATCCTGGAATGGTTTGGAAGAGACCTTAAAGATCACCTCGTTCCAACCCCCTGCCATAGGGAGGAATCTTTCTCAAGGCCAAGCTCCTTGTTTTTCAGGAATTGTTCAGATGAATTATCCTGAACACAGCTCTAAAGGAGGGGGTTGGAAAGGGAGGCTCATCAATCATCATCATGGGCCACTGCATTCAACAGATTCACAGGATGCCTTCTCCTGACTGGAATCAAGCCCCTCTTTTAAAATGATGGATTATCCCATCTGAAAGACTCAAAAGGATGGTGATGGAAAAAGACTCCAGTGTTTAATTACACTGAGGGTGTAATTAAAGCTGCTTCATTCCACAGTGGAGCTTTCCAAACTTCAGCTCCCAGCTACTGCAGCTTGTTCTGGTTTATCGGGGTCAGGTGCTCAACCTGTCACAAGGTCCCTGAAAGGATGACTTGATCATGCAATCACAGAATATCCTGAATTGGAAGAGACCCACCAGGATCATTGATCCAATTCCTTGGGGTCTCCCAGGACACCCCAACAATCCCACACTGCCCCTGAGAGCGTTGTCCAAATGCTCCTGGAGCTCTGGCAGTCCCAGGGCCGTGACCACTCCCTGAAGAGCTGTTCCAGTGCCCAACCAACCTCTAAAATAAGAACATTTTCCTGATATCCAACCCACCCCCACATGGCATGGTGTTCTCCCTCTTTCATGTGTCTATTCCCAGCACTGGGGCAGTTTTCCGGGCTCTATATCCTTTTATTGCCCCTCTTCAAATCCCCAGCAATCTTTCCATAGATCCTTGGGATGGCAACAGAGGAACTGCACAAAATGTTCTGATTTCCTGGCCCTGCAGACAGAAAATTCCTGACTCAAGCCCTTTCCATACAGGCAGAAGTTGCAATAACCACTTTGGGCTCAGTGGAAGACACTTAATGCACAATAGTCCCTGGATCCCTCTTTGAGTTTCTCTTTCCTGGGATGGCATCACATTTTGGAGGTATCATCTGCAATTTTTTTGTTCCCAGATGCGGTAACAAGTGGCATAATTACGATGGCTGTTCAAATATTGAAATGAGTTACTTGTGTGCAGCATTTCTGGGAGATGGGAGAAGGGGTGAGGTTTATTGGAACTCTATAAACATGCAAAATGTTTTCTGCACACAGTTTCCCATTTCTGTTTGCACAGATGTGGGTCGTGTCAGCACAAAACCTCTGCCAAGAAGGATAAATTAAATCCAAAGGTTTGGATAAGGCAGATAGGTAGAATGATCCACTGGTGTTTCTGCACATCTCTAACTCCTTTTTGCTCCCCTTCTTCTACTCACAAAATATAGTCAGTACTGGTGAAAAATGTAAAATCCCAAGTTGTGATGAAGGATAAAGGGCCTGGGTTGAAATAAAATAAAGTAAAAGAAAAGAAAAGAAATAAAAGAAATAAAATTTTAAAATAAAATAAAATAAAATAAAATGAAATAAAATAAAAATTTTAAAATAAATTAAAATAAAATAAAGTAAAAATTAAAAAATAAAATAAAATTTAAAATAAAATAAAATAAAGCAAAATAATTTTTTTAAAAATTTAATAAAATTAAAAAATAAAATAAGGTAAAATAAAATTTTAAAAACAAAATAAAATAAAATAAAATGAAGCAAAATAAAATAAAATTTTAAAAGTAAGGTAATGTAAAATAAAATAGAATAATAGAAATTTTGAAGATGCAAAGAAATACACTCTAATTGAAGAGACAAAAGAAATTACAGAATAAATTGTCATAATCAAAGTTGAAGAGAATTTTCCATTGTCTGCCGTGCCACTCTGTGGGAATTTTCCCAGCCCAGGCAGCTGTAAGGGAGGAGGGGCACTCGGAGCTTCTGTGCTCCCATTCTCCCTCTCCCTCTCTTTCTCTGTCAATAAATGTCTGCAATCATATTCCTGAGCTCCAGTGTGATTTCAAGGTTCATCTCTTCCATGCAGCTCAAACACTAATTATCCCAGCTGTAATTAGTAAGATAATTAAATACTGGCTCGCTCATCACTCTACCTTGTGTCGGGTCATGATTCTCCCAGAAGACCTTGAGCAGTTGCTCAAAGCTGATGTTTTGTGGCTCAAACACCACCCGGACGGCCTCAGTGTGCCCAGTTCTGCCTGCAAATTCAAAATAAAATCAGATTTTAGCAGTGACAATTAGCCAGGGCACACTCAGGGTTTTGTCTCTGCGATTCCAAGCACAGTCCTTTGGTTTTGTTTCATGTTTTCCTAAAAAATACTTGGATTTAGCACCATTCATACCTGAGCTTTTTTGCACAGTGTTTTATATTTATGTCAACTCTACTAAATCTGTTTGTTCAGACAGGACCATCATGAAATAAACTGTGTAGAGAGACAAAGAGAGAAAACAGCGATGTTATTCCAGCAGTTTGTTAGCTTAAAGGAGAAAAAATTAAAAATTCTAACAAATATATAACTGAAAACCAGCAAAATATTTGAAATATTCCAAATAGAGCATTAAAATATGAAGATTTCTATGTCTAAGCTGTCTTGACTGGATGTTGTTTCTGTGGAGATATGGATAATATAATTGATTATTAAATAATTATCATTACTATAAAATATCAATAATATTGATGATGATAAAAACAGATGTCAAGGGTGTGTTTACACACAATCATACAGATAATTCCAAACTGTTTCACAATATCCGACAGGCTCAAAAGTGTCAAAGAAAGCCTGGCTGAACTTCAAATTTTATGACAGCAGAAATACAAGGAAGATTAGCAGATGTTACAGCACTTACAAAAATATTATTCCTATTTTTCAGTTACACTTTGGACAATTTTTTTTCATTTCTGACTTGTTTATGACTCAATTTTATTGAAAGATCCAACTTCTGAAGGATCTGGCCACATAATTCATTTAAATTTTAATTACTAGTGATATTGATGAGTGCTCAGACTTCTCAGGTGAGAGTCCACTGCACAAAGTGCATTTTATGTTTTATATATGTTTTATATTTTATAATTTTAAAATTATACATTCATGAATGGGGGAAAAATCCCATCCTTCAATTAAATCATAAGAAGTAAATATCAAAAGAATAAACTGGATCTGCCTTTTGGTGGGGACCTATTGAGCTCCTTGACCACATTAGGGAGGTTTTTATTTAATTTATAGCAGCACACACCCTAGATTTATTCCACTGATTTCAACAGAATCAGAGAATTCCACAGAGGGTGAATCTGGCCCAGTGCTGGCTCCTGAATGAGCTGTGACCAAACAAGAAAAATCAGATTCTGGGAGTAACTGAGGAGGGTTCAGCAGAGGTATGAGGAGAAATTTGAATTAAAAAAAAAATAGAGAGAAATAAAAAGGATGCTGGGAAATACTAAAGAGCCATGATGGGGCAAAGTGTGACAGCATTTTATCAGTTAACAGGGCACCTGAAACAAAACCTGAACAAGGCACAGAGAGCTGATAAAAGGGATTTGAAAGACTGGGATTAAATTTAGTCTGGAATGCAGAGGAGCAAAGGAGGGCACATCTGAGATATCTGTAGTCTAGATCTGATAAAATCAAATTGCTCCCTATCTCAACCTAGCAAAGATCTGCTCAGTGAGATGAAAAGAGAATATCCAGGTTTCCTGGGAGCTGGAGTGAAGCCAGGTCCCCCTGTCCTGCAGGATGTCCCCAGCTGTGACCCAATTCCTCTCTGCCTTTTACAGTCCAGGGAAGCATCTCATAACCTGAAGCCAAATTCAGATGGTGGGAAGCAGGAAGGATCACCCATTCAGCAGAATAAAAACACAAGTTAGAGATAATTGGCTCAACAACGAAGTGAAATGGTCTTCAACAAGAATTGACAGCCAGCTTAGGTCAGGGATGGAATTTATTCCAGATTTCGTGGTTTAATGCCATTGATGAGCAAAAATAATGAATTTGGTGGTGCCCAAATTGGGACTTTTGCTGCAGCTTGAGGAGACAAAGGAGAGACCATGACCAGTGGTGTGTCCAGCTCGCCCAAAGCAACACGGTTCTCGTCAGTCACACAGGCGCAGGGCGGGCATGGCACATCTCGGTGGGCACGTGTCCTAGGGTGACGTTATGATGCTGGTGTCCCCATTTGTGTGTTCTGTTCATACTGGATATTATGTTCTGTGCCTTCAAGACTGGCTCTGAAGAGCGAAAGCTTTGGTTTGGTTTTGTTATCAGCCGCTCCCCCACAACTGGTGGGACACACAGACGGGGCAGTACATGGGTGCTGCTTTTGCTTTTTGCTTGGCTTTTTGCTTTGCTCTTGCTTCTGCTTTGCTCTTGCTTTTTCCTTCTGCTCATTAGTTAGTTTAGCTAAGCAGTCCGAATTTTTCCCTGGACTGTTTTTCCTTTCCTTTTTTGGAACCACTCAAACCTGCTCCAGACTGGGACCTGGGAAACACTCAGAGTTTGCACCTTGTGGCTGCAGCAGCTGCCCCAGCGCCAGAGGGACTGATAACAGAGTGACCACCCCCAAGAGAGACTTTCTGAATTGGTCATCTTTGTCAGAGCGCTGACAGAGTGGTGCCATCCGGTATTGTTCATTTGGTGTGCTGGGGGGTGCTGTGCCTGTTAAATAAACAGGTTCTTTCCACTTCTCTCCAAGGAATCCTTCCTTGATTTGGGAGGAGGGGCTGTGTGCGTTTGCTTTCTGGAGGGGCCCCCCTTTTGGAGGTTTTCTCCCAAATTTGACCTAAACCAGGACACCGTGGCATGGAAGCTTGCATGGCAAACAGGGGCGTGGCACATCTCTGTGGGCGTGGCACAGCAGTTTGAGCACTGAACAGGGGTGTGGCACTTCTCTGTGGGCGTGGCAAAGCAATTTGAGCAGTAAAAGGGGTGTGGCACATCCCTGTGGGCATGGCACAGCAATTTGCACAGGCAGGGTTGCAGATTTCCTCCTGCTAGTGGGTTTTTTTGGTTGGTTTTGGGGTTTTTTTGGTTTCTTGGGTGTTTTTGTTAGTAATGGCTTTTACACGATCAAAAACTTGAGTTAGTGAAAGTGTATGTAGCCAAATAGAACCCTCCAGAAAGGATGTGTCTGTCCAGACCCCTTCTGGTGCAGAGTGTTTGAGTTTATCAGTGGTACCAGGGGGTGTTCCAGAAGATGCCTGCCTGTGGTGTGAACAGGTGAACCATCTCCTTTCACTGGTGGCCGAGCTTAGGGAGGAAGTAGAAAGGAGTATCGGGGAAAGTGAAAGGGAAACAGATTGATGGGATTCTGCTCTTCCATCCTTGAGGGAGGCCCACCAGGAGTCAGAGGAGTCCCACTCCTCCCACCATCAACAGGAGGACACACCTGGTGGATGAAGGGGAGTGGAAATGGGTCCCTACTCCAGGAGGTGACAAAAATTCCTCCTGACCTCCATCACCTTCCCAGGAGCCACTTCAGAGTAAGTATGAGGCCCTGGGTGAGGAAGGCCAGCCAGAGGATGTAGAAGAAAATTAGTAAGATAATTAGCCTCCCAATTAGGATTCATCTGTCAGACAGGTCACCACCTCTGACATCAAAAAGGAAAGAAGGGTAGTTGTGCTGGGTGACTCCTTCCTGAGGGGAACAGAGGGCCCCATATGTCAACCAGACCCATCCCACAGGGAGTTCTGCTGCCTCCCTGGGGCCCAGGTACAGAATATCACTGAGGAACAACCTGGGCTGATTCAGCCCTCTGATTATTACCCAGTGCTGGTACTCCAGGCTGGCAGTGATGAGACTGAAAAGAGGAGAACCAGGCTAAGGAGTATTAGGGAAAGCGGAAGGGAAACAGATTGGTGAAGTTCCACCCTTCCATCCTTGAGGGAGGCCCACCAGGAGTCAGAGAACTCCCATGCCTCCCACAGGAGGACACACCTGGTGGATGAAGGGGAGTGAAAAGGGTCCCTACGCCAGGAGGTGACAAAAATTCCTCCTGACCTCCATCACCTTCCCAGGAGCCACTTCAGAATAGGTATGAGGCCCTGGATGGGGAGGGTTAGCCAGAGGATGTAGAAGAAAATCATATGCCCAGTGAGCCTCCCAATTAGGATTCATCTGTCAGATCACCACCTCTGACATCAAAAAGGAAAGAAGAGTAGTTGTGGTGGGTGATTCCATTCTGAGGGGAACAGAGGGCCCCATATGTCAACACAGACCCATCCCACAGGGAGTTCTGCTGCCTCCCTGGGGCCCATAATATCACTGAGGAACAGCCTGGGCTGATTCAGCCCTCTGATTATTACCCACTGCTGGTACTCCAGGCTGGCAGTGGTGAGATTGAAAAGAGGAGCATCAGGGCAATTAAAAGGGACTTTAGGGCACTGGGCCAAGTTATTGATAGGGCAGGAGCACAGGTAGTGTTCTGCTCAGTCCCTTTGGTGGCAGAGAAAAATGATGAAAGGAATAGCAGAGCCCACATTATCAACAAGTGGCTCCAGGGTTGGTGTCATCAGCAGAATTTTGGGTTCTTTGATCATGGGGCGACTTTTCTGGCACCTGGCCTGCTGGAACTGGATGGGCTCCATCTCTCTGTTAAGGGCAGAAAGGTTTTAGCTCAAGAACTGGCAGAACTCATTGAGTGGGCTTTAAAGTAGGTTTGAAGGGGGAAGGGGATGCAGCTGGGCCGTCTGGAAGCAGGCCCAAGGGTGGTAAGCCTCAGTTAGGGGTGAAATCAATAACCAAGCAGTGGTGGAGTCCCCATCCCTGGATGTGTTTTAAAAAAAGCTTGGATGTGACACTTGGTGCCATGCTTTACTTGAAGTGTTAGAGCATGGATTGGACTTGATCTTGAAGGTCTCCTCCAACTTAGTGATTTTGTGTGATTCCGTGTGTGATTGTACAACTAAAATCAGATTAAAGAGTGACTTCTGACTTCAGTATTTTTATTTTTTGTAAGCCAACATTAAGCTTATGAAAGGTTTTTATCACTCAGGAGCAAATTACTTGCCTAAGATGAACAGGTTTAGACCACAGGAAAGTTTCCTAAAGAACTTAAAAACAACAGAGGTTTTACCTTTCCTCCTGACTGAAACAGCAATTACACCTTGTCAACACTGCCTGCTCCTGCTAATCCAGAAGTTCAAAGGATCAGCCTCCTTTTTTTCCCAGAATAAGGAAATAATGGTGCTCCTCTGAGAACTATAGC